GATTCATTCTAAGTTTTACAGTTTTCGAGAAAATCAATGAAATGTGAAAACACTACTTTTTCGAGCATTTTTTCAAATTTGAACGCGAATTACAGCCAAACGGATAAAACCACAGTAATATATCAATATTTGCTACATTCCTCATACATTCAGCTTTCATATGCATCTTTTGGATTCATTCTAAGCATTACAGTTTTCGAGAAAATCAATGAAATGTGAAAACACTGCTTTTTCGAGCATTTTTTCAACTTTGAACGCAAATTACAGCCAAACGGATAAAACCACAGTAATATAACTATACCTGTTGGATTCCCCATACATTCAGCTTTCATATGCATCCTTTGGATTCATTCTAAGCATTACAGTTATCGAGAAAATCAATGAAATGTGAAAACACTGCTTTTTCGAGCATTTTTTCAACTTTGAACGCGAATTACAGCCAAACGGCTAAAACCACAGTAATATCTCTATACTTGCTACATTCCCCAAATATTCAGCTTTCATATGCATCTTTTGGATTCATACTAAGTATTATAGTTTTCGAGAAAATCAGTGTAATGTGAAAACACTGCGTTTTCGAGTGTTAATATTTTAGTTTTTCAATTTTCAACACGAATTACAGCTAAATGGATGTATATGAATAATCGTTACATTACAAGATTTTGAGAAAGCCATTATAAATGTTTCAGTTTGTGTATAATTGGTTGCCTATAAATGTAAAATTATTTAAAATCATTATATCTTTAATATTTATAATTTTGAAGTAAAATGACAATTGTATTAATTAATTTGATATCATTTCATAAAATTTCAAATGTTTTCATTTTTAAAATGTAGTATCATTGTTGTTTATAGATGGCGACACCAATTTCCGTTATGTTGACTATATGTTAATGCTCTGTGCTCAGAGGTTGCAGACAAAGTTAAACTTCACTAATGTCGTGAATTGTGAAACCCGCGTTGTTTGAGGAAATATACCTTTGCAGTGTTTGCGGTTTCTGGTTTACGAATGCAGGTAATTTTGATTAGCACATACGAATTACCAATAAACTTGTCCCATTACTTTGTTAAACACGTCTGCATTAGTGTGCAAGTTATGAATGTGTTGTTGATGCTATTACCATGTTTCAGGTCAATTTGATACTAAAAAATTTGTCTGACATTCGATCGAATAAGTATGTTAATAAGTATATTTCAATATATTGATGGTGTTTCATGCGTTTTTCTTTTTAGCTCAAGATAAGATTGTCAGTGGATGAAAAAATACGAGAAGATTAAAGAATAAAAAGGAACTTGGTGTAAATGTGAGTTTAATACTCGTGTTTTGGAAACGGCTTTGAAGTTTAATCCGGTGTGTCAGGACGGATCATGGCGTATTTCTTGAGGAACAATTGTGAGTTCAACAATTGCGGCAAGCAATTCCCGACGCTGCACGAGCTCATCACCCACATCGAGTCCGTGCACATTGGTAAATACCTCAAATTTCTTTCTATTCCTCCTCGGTTGGATGTTGTAACGATCGTTTTTTTGGGGTTTACAGATTTCAGCCCGAAAGTATTCGATGAGATAGAAAGAGCGAAACCTCAATGCTTGCCGATGAGTTACGTGTTGCGTTATAGTCCCGACGATGAGCCGACCATCAAGCACGAAATCGACCATGGAGATGATGTCATCATCCATGAACCAATTGACAAGAATAACAGTATCGGTGAGTGATCCTTATTACTAATATCGATCATCTTTTCATTTCAATTAATTTCTCAATCACATAACGATTTCTCATATCTTTGCAATATTTCATTAATTCTTGTATAATCATTTGAAATGTGCGTCTTCAGTAAAATGGCTTGTTTATGTATTGTGTTTCTTGGTATTTTCCGATCGATTGAGAAACATTTGCAGTTTTCCCTCCGGTTTGCAAGATTAAACTTTTGTCGCAGGAAACCGTTTATCTATGTGGCAATTTAAACGTTTTCCGATGGCTTCGTCGACGTGGTGAACCATTGAGATTGATGCGTTTAGAACGTCTCCTCGCTCATAAATGGTACATACTTATTGATTGTGCAAAGTGGATGCTGCTACACAGCTCTACATTTTCCGCGCGGTGTCGATGCAACATCTTCCTTTTCTTTCGCGATGCAAGGAAACCCGACACACAATTACGACGAGCACAAAAGCGAGATTTTTCCAATAGAAACACATATATATATATATATTTTTTTCGCAGTCGAGGAAATGAAGAAAGGTCCCGACGATATCGTCGACATGATGCGCGACAACAACAACAACATTAACCCAGCATCTGAGTGAGTTCGGCCGCAGTCGGCGTGAGTTTACTTTTACTTGTTTTATGGTTGTGTTCTTACAGGAATTGCGCCTGGTTCAGTCACCATCACGAGGTCGTCGAGGTTAAGGATGAAGATGATTTGTACAGCAAACACAAGACTAAGAAGTTCAGTTGTCCGGTTCCTGGATGTCCGAAACGCTACAAGAACGAGAACGGGATGAAATACCACATGATGAACCATCACGACGTCGATGGAAAGTAAGTTATTATTTTTTATTTAAAAGTTGTCGCAGTCGAACTATGTTTTTTGTTTCAAGCTTGATCAAACCTAAAAAGGAATTCAAGTGTCCTTGCGGTAAAGACTACAAGACTCTGAGAGGCTTCCAGAGTCATATGCAGAAGCACAAGGAGCGACCGGAAGGCGAGTTGAACAGGACAAGATTAGGGTATCCTCCGCCCGTCTACTCGAGGATGTACAATCCGGAACCTCATCGGAGGTTCTTCAGCAACGAGATGATGGCGTACCCACCGATGGACAGGAATTTTTCCGGATTGGAAACCCACGAACCGGAGTTTCCCATCAGCATCGAAGCCATGGAGAACGTGTCCATGTATAACGTTGATAATGAGCTGGCCAAGTACACAATCCTATAGTGTAGGATCTATTCGTTCTCTCGTAGAATTCCGTTTAATTTAAGTAGGATAAACAGTTTACTTTTATATATTTTATTTTTGTTATTTAATAAGAAAATATTTTTTTTTTTTTATAAAACTACATTTTATTCTCTCAACTGTGGACGGAAAATGCAATATTCTGCAGCACCGTTTCGCTATTATCATTGGCGTTGCACAAAACAAGTCATTTGAACGTGTAAACTTTATTAAAACATTTTGTATTTCAACTTAAAATTATCCTCATTTTGCAATTATGAATGTTGACCACTTGTTGATCCGAGAATGCGCACATAAAATTGTATAAATATGACAATTATTTCAATCCTGATTGAAAATGTCTTATGTGCTTTTTTTTTTAAACGAATTCCGCATAAATGTGTCATTGATATCAAAATATGTTCTTTTTATTAAAAGCTCTATTGCCATTCGTGGCAAGGAAATTACTCGCGTGCCTTTATTGGCACATCCTGAGTTGGCACGTCGCACAAGTCTATATTGGTCTTCAATTTTCCTTGCATTTCCAGTTGTAAATACAGATTCTTGGAAAGAAATTCATTGAAAATTTTTATCTTGACAGATTATATAACTCTCGCGTACGAACCATGGTAACCTAATTACCATGGCAACCTGAAATCGAATGATATTGATACGAAATTGTTATTTGTAAATATCAATATATTTGGTTTATAATAAAATATAGACAGATAAAGTACATTTCGGGAACAAAAAAAAAATAATAATAGAAATGTAAAATAAAAAAAAGTATTTATTAAAATTAAAAATATTTAAAGTCTGACGATTTAAAAATTATTATATAGATAAACAGTCAATCTGAGGATGGAATCACTAAGTTAACTAAGGTTTTTTTTTTTGTGGGAGGAATAACTGTAACACTTATAAATGTTTTTTGTTTTCTTATACGATTATCACATATAGTTGTAAATAATTACAAAATAAAAGAAATAAACTGGGGTTGGGTTTTGCTCAGCATCTAAATCGAAATTTGTACATAATTAACTTCGTCTCCGAGCACTTCACCAGGAGGATAAAACATCGATTCCGTAACAATTAAATATTTATATGTATATATATATGAATGAATATAATTGTAGATTTTCGTACCGTCGAAGGATTAAGTGGTGTATGCTTAGGCTCTTGGGATGAGATCATTGCGATTCGTAGATAGTGTCCAGTTGTGTGCGAAGCCTTTGCATGGGTATTGGCTATATGAGGTCCTCGTTGACTTCTTCCATGTACCGCACCAGATCGCTGCTGCTGAACTCTATCTCCTCCAGATCCTGCAGACTCGAATTGCTGATGGTGTTGTTGGCGCTGTCCGCTGTCGAGTTCTTCGCCTCGTACGGGCTGTGCAGCAAACTGAAGATCTTCGAGAATCCATCCAAATACTTTCTGTTACCGATATCCTCGTGCCTCCTCGGCTCCGGCTTTTTCCTGTCACCTCCATCCACGGAAATCGACTTGGAAATTGTGGTTAACATGGTCGTCTGGCTGGTCTGAGAAAGCATCCTCGGTCGAAACCGATCCACCTTACCGTTTCCGCTGATCTGCTTATCATCGGAATCCTCGTCGTGAGGATTCAGAGGAAGCTGCTGGCAATTTGCTACTCCGTCCGAGATTGATCTTTGATACTTCTTCAGAGAAGGCGGACACCTGGAAAGCATCGAATACGTCCTCGTCGTCGTCGTCTCTCGTCCTCTGACCATCTTTTTACCGCCGAACCAAGCGTAGAATGTGTTCTGCAATAAATAAATAAAAAATGAAACGAAAACATGTATCAAATTATTTTTAATCGAATTTCCCCCGGTTTGCAATATATTTCCAGTAATTACCGGGGCGCGATGCAAATTACCTTTTACAAAGGGCGCAACATTGAACCGCGTAATTAAAGCATGCAAATTATTCCGTGATTAATGTTTCAAACATCCCCCTTTCCAATCAACCCCCAAGTGTTGCATCTTTCATTTATAAAACGGCGACAAAACGAAAAAAAGAAAGAAACTGCGCTGCATAAATCACACACGGTTAGGTCAATTCCTTCAGCACCTCACATCATTTACATTCTCAATTATTTAAGTTGTTTATTACAAAAAATAACAATAAATTTAACATAAAATTCAAATTCCCTGTTACGATTTGTATTATTAATATAATAATTAGTTAATACCAAACTATAACGTAATTCAAGAAGAAATTTGGAATGTTGACATTATAAAATTTTAATGTTATTTCTCTGATTACTTTTAATATAAATATTTATGTAGTAAATTTAATGGAAAATATATTTGAATAAGAAATCAAAATAGAATCAGGCATCAAACACTATTAATTAATTTAATTAAAAATATAATGTGAAATGTTTAACTGTATAAATTTAGAATTAGCGAAATTAATTATAATAATTCAATGAATTAACAGGCGGAAATATCAATCAATAGGTCCATTTCAATAATTAATAATAATTATTTTCATGATTTAGTAATTAATTAATACGACTGATCTGTTTATATTTCAACAAACAAAATAATGAAAGACAAAAAGGATGAAAGAAATTCCAAAGTATTACTAAATTCGAGAAGACATTTAGAATGCTGACATTATAAATTTTCACAGTTATTTCTCTGATTACTTTTAATATACATATTTGAACAAGAAATCAAAATAGAATCAGGCATCAACCAAATACACAAACACTATTAATTAATTTAATTAAAAATATAATGTGAAATGTTTAACTGTATAAATTTAGAATTAGCGAAATTAATTATAATAATTCAATGAATTAACAGGCGGAAATATCAATCAATAGGTTCATTTCAATAATTAATAATAATTATTTTCATGATTTACTAATTAATTAATACGACATCTGTTTATATTCCAACAAACAAAATAATGAAAAACAAAAAGGATGAAAGAAATTCCAAAGTATTACTAAATTCGAGAAGACATTTAGAATGCTGACATTATAAATTTTCACAGTTATTTCTCTGATTACTTTTAATATACATATTTGAACAAGAAATCAAAATAGAATCAGGCATCAACCAAATACACAAACACTATTAATTAATTTAATTAAAAATATAAAGTGAAATGTTTAAGTGTATAAATTTAGAATTAGCGAAATTAATTATAATAATTCAATGAATTAACAGGCGGAAATATCAATCAATAGGTTCAGTTCAATAATTAATAATAAGTATTTTCATGATTTAGTAATTAATTAACACTGACTGATCTGTTTATATTTCAACAAACAAAATAATGAAACACAAAAAGGATGAAAGAAATTAGAAAGTATTACTTAATTCGAGAAGAGATTTAAAATTTTGACATTATAAAATTTCACAGTTATTTCTCTGATTACTTTTAATATACATATTTGAACAAGAAATCAAAATAGAGTCAGGCATCAACCAAATACACAAACACTATTAATTAATTTAATTAAAAATATAATGTGAAATGTTTAACTGTTAAAATTTAGAATTATCGAAATTAATTATAATAATTCAATGAATTAATAGGCGGAAATATCAATCAATTTCAATAATTAATAATAATTATTTTCATGATTTAGTAATTAGTTAATACGACTGATCTGTTTATATTCCAACAAACAAAATAATGAAACACAAAAAGGATGAAAGAAATTAAAAATATTACTTAATTCGAGAAAAGATTTAAAATGTTGACATTATAAAATTTCACAGTTATTGCTTTCAATACACATATTTCAGAGGTAAATTTAAAAAATATTTACACAAATTTGAGCAAGAAATCAAAAGGAATGAACCAAATATATAAACACTATTAATTGATTTAATTATCATGTATAATGTGAAATTTAACTGTATACATTTAGAATTAGCGAAATTAATTACTTGGCGGAAATATCAATCGATAGTCCATTTCAATAATTACTAATAATTGGAATTAACATTATAAATTTATATAATTATTTCAAAGAATCGGTTTTTTTTGTATTAATTAACGTTAATCTACTCACTTAAATATGGCATAAAATTAGATTTACAGTTGTTCAGAAAATTAAAATACTAATTAGTATTTGTGAACGCAAATCTACGAACTTTGAGAGAAATACTCGTCATTCGTAGTTAAATTACTCTCACTTGCTTAACACGTAGATGAATTGGTTATTTAGCATATTTTGATATTCATTATAAGCTAATATTATTCACGAGATGAGCATTTATTTTCTTGATAAAAAAAAACTCCAATTTACATCCAATTTTCTTTTTTCATATTCACAACTCTTGACATTTTCTCTTGACGATCTGGATCAGGACTTTTGTGCGTCAAAAGCAAAAAAATAAATAAATCACCAATTGGAAATGATTGGATCGATTGGACCAATTAAATTTTAATGAAAACGTGACGATGTATTTTCGGATTTGATCCGATCCGCAGACCTTTGCCACTCTTGCCGCATCATCCTTTGACCCGAAATTGTGGGAACATCTACTTCCTGCATTCGACACAAAGCGCAGATCCGGAAGTTCGCATTAACCGCACGCGCGCATTTCCTCTCAATATTAACTTTGTTTTAAAGAGATTCCTTCAAATAAATTAATCAATCAACATTTCCCAATTAAATAAGATTTTTAAATTATTAATTAGTCTCGATAATTAAATGGCTCGAGGGAATTATTATAAAAAGAAATGTGAAAAGAAAACGTATCGCAACAGCCGAAATCCATTTCGTAACAGTTTCTCTAAGTTATGCAAAGCATCGCCTTATAGATTTGCATGAGATTTCAATAAATTCTCGCTATTTTTATACCTTTCGTTTTTTCTCTCTCTCTCTTGTAGTTTTATTTATTTATTTACCAATTTTATTTCCATCACCGTTCGCCTTGCGGATTCGAAGGAATTTGGAAAATGTGCTGCAACGATCATCTATTTATATTATTTATTGAATTTGGATATTTATGAGAGCGGAAAATGTAAATCAAATGGAAAGAAGGAAACGAAACTACCACCGCTTTTTATTTTTTTCTGCTTCATCCAACTTTTATACTTTTCCTCTTTCCATTTTGGCAGCCGGACAGATTTCTGGACCGACTAAACGCTTTGGACTGAGACCAGAAGTTCATAATTTTCGTAAATAGATAAGGTACAGGTCGGATTTATTGCCGTGTTGTCGGTCGCAACTCAATTCATTTCGTAGGAATTCTAATTGAATCAACCGATTCATTTTCCGTATTAAACGAATACATCAATACTTTTATATTATACAATAATCTATCATTATTTATTAAATCTATAATCCATATTTGGCAAGAAGTAAAGAGCTTTGATTTAATTTTACGTTGTTAAAAGTATCTGAATGTTAAATTTAACCTTGTCACTATTCATACACAATTAGGACATCGATTCAATCTACAATATGTATACTTTTATATTAATTTATATAATTTGAAAAAAAACCGCCCAAAACAAATAAATCTTAATGTAATTGCAATGAATAGGAAAAAAATCAAAATTTAAATTAGTTGTTTGCAATTAGTATAATAATACATTTACATTACCTTGATGATACTTAATTGCTTTTTAAACGATTGCTTTTCGTGTTTAAAATTTAATGTAGTTTTGAATAAATTTTCTATTCACATTATTTTGTATAAAATTTAGGATCGGTGGCAATCGCAAGCCCGACAACCGAAATCACGTCTATCGATATCCTGACGTTCGAAATCCCGACTGTTTCGAAATCCCGCCAGGATCAAAATCTTGACGTTCGAAATTCCGACGTTCAAAATCCCGGCAGGATCAAAATCTCGACGTTCGAAATCCCGACGTTCGAAATCTCAAGTGTATCGAAATCCCGACTTTCGAAATCAAGCCAGGATCAAAATCCCGACGTTCGAAATCATGACGTTCGAAATCCCGATTGTATCAAAATCCCGACGTTCGAAATCCCAAGTGTATCGAAATCCCGACGTTCCAAATCCCAAGTGTATCGAAATCCCGAGTGTATCAAAATCCCGACGTTCGAAATCACGCCAGGATCTAAATCTCGACGTTCAAAATCCCGGCAGGATCAAAATCCCGACGTTCGAAATCCCGAGTGTATCGAAATCTTGACGTTCCAAATCCCAAGTGTATCGAAATCCCGACGTTCGAAATCCCGCCAGAATCAAAATCCCGACGTTCGAAATTCCGACGTTCAAAATCCCGGCAGGATCAAAATCCCGACGTAAGAAATCCCGGCTGGCTCAAAATCCTAACGTTCAAAATCCAGATTATATCGAAATCCCAACTATGTCAAAATCCCGGCTACCATAATCCCCACAATCAAAAACCCGACTGTATCGAAATCCCGACTGTATCGAAATCCCGACTGTATCGAAATCCCGACTATATCGAAACCCCGACAGTGTCTTTTATTTTTATAAATTTCTACAATAACATTTTTATGATTGTGATTGTCGGGATTATGGTAGTCAGGTTTTCGATACAGTCGGGATTTTGATTGTCGGGATTATGGTAGTTGGGATTTTGACATAGTCGGGATTTCAAGCGTCGGGACTTTAATATAGTCGGGATTTCGAATAACTGTTCCATTCACCTCAAGTTACATCATTTGGTCATCAATAAATAACGAAGGTCTAAGTAATTACGAATAATGAAATTAAGAAATTTTATAAACATAATAAATTAATTCGTGCGTTCTTTGAATCGTGCATCAAATTTAATTTATGCATATGATTTGCTCGCATCTTTCAACGTTATAAACAACAAATTATTTGTGAATTGCGTAAGATTACATTAACATTTTTTTGTTGTTGCTATGAACGAAAACGAAAACAAAACAAGAAAATAACAAAAGTTATTTTCTTGTTGCTCTGGCGACGAAAAACGAATTAAAACATCGCAAAACAGAACAATTACGTTTTTTGTTTTTGGTTTGACACGAACAGTAATTGATGAAAATTACGTTTTGACTTTTTGTAAATTTGCAGTGCTCTGTTGTTGTTGTTGTTGTTATTCATTATGTTTTCATCGTCAGATTGAAACGTTTATTTCTTTTTTTCTACTTTGTTTGCATTTCAACCAGATTATGTTTTTTTTTCTGATGTGATGAAATTTTATAGCTTCCGCCCATCGAAACAGATGCAGACAGTTTTGAAAATGACAAGCAAAAAAATATAGATACAAACATGCAGACAAATTAGATAAAAAAAAGCGGTAATGTATAATTAGATAACATACAATTATGTAATGTTATTTCGATTGCAAAGCAGAAAATTGCAGGAAATGCATTTCAATTGATTATCTATTAGTTAATTACGTTTAATTTATATGTAATGTAATCGTGTGCAATTTCTACACTTTGTTTTATTACCAATTATTCAACTTTTCAAATATGCTCAATGAATTATATTGTATAGCAATTTTTTATGTAAAATAATTTAAATTAAGTATTAAACTTTATATGTAATAGTTTTTTCTTGAATTAAAATATTGCTAATTAATAGTAAATTTAATACAACATCAATAAAAATGAGATTTTGGTTCAAGTATGCAAAATTTGAATGAATGATAAAATTATACTTGAAATGCATTAAAGTATTTGCTATAAATTTAAATTGGCTTTAGATATAATTTTTCGTTTATCGAAGGTTGCGATGAGTGCGAAAGGATGCACGTGCAGTTGAAATTTAATTAAGTAATTAAAAGTGAAATGATGCAACTATTTCTAATTGAACTAATTTAACCTTAAAAAAAAGCTTCTAAAGGTCTAAATACTATTTGTTTTTTAGGTGGCTAACCTCGATTTCAAGTAGATCTAACCTAATTACGTTTAGTACATTGAAAGTCGATTCAGTGCAAATGTAGAGAAATTATATAAAAAAAAGGTTCGTACGCGCGACTAATTAAATGAAGTGTTTAAAAGTGAGATTTTGAAAGAGGAATTGTTTAAAATCAGGTAGGCTGAATGAAGGAAGAGAATTAAACCAATTAAGGGAGGATTCTATAGTGCGTGGCAACAGAAAGATGGTCCTCTCTAACATCATTATCCTCTTCAGCGACGGTTCCATTGAGCGTTCCTTAATGACGACTAATTAGCTCGGTTTGTTCACTAATGATACTACATAATAATTATAACCCGGCACCTCCGCCATACTAAAAAAACAGGCACTTGTTTTGTAACTGTCACAGCGAAAATCTAAGCTGTCTGAGATGACATAAATACGGAAATGATTGTCACGACGGACACGATAAATATCAATTATGTCGTGAAAGATAAGGGCGAAAAATAACGTTGGAAAATACAATAAAAAAATAAAAAACAAAGTCCGACCGTTCCTAATAAGTCTAAAAGAGGGGTTCGCTTAAGCGCATACAGAAGCGGAGCGGAAATTTGTACTCGTAAATCGAAGAGGCTCCCTTTTAAATTGAATTTACCGCTCTTTTTTTTTGTCCTTTCTCTCTCGTTGCTCTTGCTTCGGTTCTCGCTGTTCCATTTATAAATATGTAGATTCTTTTCTTTCTCTCCGCGCGCGGATTTAAAGATTCAGACAGGTTAGAAAAGACCGACTTCTCAATTAATTCCATACATATATTATAAACGTATTCAACTTCTTTATTTCTTCTATACAAGTTTATAAAAAGCTCTCAAATCTTGTTTCCCAAATGCATTGAATCATTGATTTTATACACTTATTTTGTTACAAATGTATCAAAGTCTCAGGGATGGATGAAGATGGTATCATTGTCGATGATGATTTCAAAGTAAATCTTTGGCGGATTCGTTGAAAACCTCAAAAGTCTTTTGGTATTCAAATGCTTCGTATTGAAATGTAAACAGACGAAGTTGGACGTTTCATTCTTTATATTCCGTCTTTCCTTTCTCTCCTATTCTATTTTTTTGGCGCGAAGATCAAACGTAAATAAAATTTTAGGAACAGTAGATGTGGGGGGATTGAAAGTCGCCCGCTGCAGAGTCCTGTAGATCTGTTTGCTCTTTCGACCTTTTCCTCCCTTTGTGCACGAAGACTCAAAGCGTATTTACATCTCACACAAAAATCCGCATCCGGATCGATGCAACTATATTCCATATGTATATAAACGTATATAATGTCCATCTCTGATTCAAGAAAGGCGACAAGAAATCCTCCTAATAAAACGCAGGTCACCTACTTTTTATAGGAAAAAAGAATACAAATACGTCCATAAAAATTTGGTTCCTCTTTCGAGGATTTTCCGAACGCACTTATATTTCTTATTTTTTTGCGTATACTTCTTTCTTCGAGCAATTTGAAAATAAGGTCAATAACAAGGAAGGTTTTTTCTTTCTTAAGACTCTATTGAACGTCGATTTAGCGGAAAACTTTATATATCCGAAGCACAATTGAATATCCTCTTTTGCTTTTGTTAAACGCATTCAAACTTTTCCTCAAATCTTTATTATATATAAATATATATGTATAAGGCTATCTCGAAGTAGGTAATAGGATTAGTGCTCAATATTCCATCTGGAATCGGTTTTCTTTTACGGCCAATAAAAATGCAGTCCAATTATAGACATTTATTTCGTCGGTAAATATATACTAAAAAGCAATTAAATTCAGTACAAATTTCTTTCATTAAGTATTATTAAAATATTTTGATTATAAACTTGTTAATTAATCACATAATGTTTTTGTTGCTTAATTTGTAAACAATAAAGAATATTGTTGATGCTGAGAGGTGCTTAAAGTTATATCATCAATCTTCTAAATAAATAACCAATTTTAAGCACGCCTCGTTGGAGTTTCGTTGTGCTGCAACGAGATTCTAGGTAGGTGTTAAAATTCAGCGACAAATCCTTTTCGCCCTACTTAACTAGACCCCGGCGAAGGAGTAAAGGAGAGAGAGACTAGTATTTGATTGTGTACGAGAGAGAGAGAGAGAAAACAAGAGTTGTATGTAACAGTCTCCGGATTCTTGGCTGAGCAAACTAAATGGGAATTTAATTACTCGCCTCCTCTCCTCCACCCCTATTTGATTAATTAGGTCGCAAATATGGCGACATCGTATCAATCTCCAACTCTTTGTTTCTTCCAACGCTTCCTTCGAAATAATAAATGACAACTCATTGCGATTCGTCTCGCACATTTTAGCGCTTTTACTGCGGTCCATTAGGGATGATAAAATCCTCGGGCGAGAGAGCCATAACCGTTACGCTTGAGAACAGTGAAGATTCGACCCGAAAAAAGAACGTGGTTTGCTCCAGTTTTTGGTTATTGCATTAAGTTCCTGAAAAATGTTGATCCAATCAAACGACAATTAAATGTAGACGCTGAAAAAATAATGGTTTCAATTGCGATTCGGATCGATACTCTCAATTCTTGAGAGTGCAGATGGAAAGAGAGGATTTTCGTTTGGATTTAATTGGAAACAACTGTGCAAATGCGAAACCACTTGTGTTGCGCGAATTTGCGTTTCGTCTTCAATAATGCCATGTTAATTAATTAATTAATTAATTGATCGATGTAGCGGTGAAACAAAAATGAAACAGTTGAACAGAGTTGCTACTACTAGATGAATGATAGATCCAATTTTGTGAAGACGTGTGTGATGATTGGCGTGAAGACGTATGCAATTAGTCGCGCATTTCCGAACGATGTTTTCTCGTCCCGGATTGAGGACATCGCAATATCGGGAGAAAATGAGGTTAAGAAAACCCTTCTTTTTTTTTTTTGACGTGTGTAAATGTCGGCTACAGTTTCCGATCCTCTCGAAGGATTCGCCACGGCCGACCGGATATTACCTGAGAGAACAAAGGAGCATCTCATTCTCAAATGGTAGACACCAATGTTAAAACTAACAAGAAAGAAAATCCTTTTAATCTGCGCATTTAATATATTTTTAAAGGAGATCACTTTAATATATTTTCTTAAAAGATATTTTACTTATTTAGTTCTAGATTTTGTGTAAATTAATTTGTAGTATTTTCGATTTCATTTATTAATGACTTTCATTTCAATGAAATATACATATTTTTAATAATAAACCAAAACAATATATTTTGTACTGCATGGATTTAATTTTAGAATTAAAATTTATTACGTGTTGCTAACTCATAAATCACTTATCTTTTTCTTTCGAAATCCTTGATATTTAACATATATAACTTTCCTTTAGTTATTAAGTAATACTTAGATATCATAAATTTTGTTGTTGTTGTTGTTGTATGAATTTTTTTCTTATAATTGTAAGATGAAAAATAAATTTATTAAAAAAGAAACAACTATGCATTTCTTGTTATAGAAGTTAAAATATTGTTGTTGAAGTTTAAATTGAGAAATAAATTATGTTAAGAAATGTGAATTTATTGAAAAAATATATAATATAAGAGAGTGGTGAGGATACGGATACCTTGAATGCCTCCCTAAACTTGTTGGACATGATGTGGTACAGGACCGGATTGACGGTCGTCGAGAGGAAGTATAGGACTCCTGAGATGTACATGAGGGCCGTGTAGATGTGGAGGAAAGCGGCCTGTGCTTCGGGACTGGCCGTTGCCAGGTAAACGGCCAGCAACCTCTGGGCATGGAACGGTGCCCAGCAGATGAAGAATGCCACAACAACAGCAACTGGAACAATTCAAAACCACTATTTTTAAGTACAGTTTAAGCTCGAAAATCAGAAAAGACAATTCAATAAATTTCATATATGTTTAAGAATTTCATCTTCTTTTCAAAGTCTATAAGAAAATCACTTAAACTTGACCATATTCAAAGTTTTATAAAATACTTTTATTTTCTTTCTTCTGTTTTGTGTACATTTTATTTACATTTTTTTTAATCACAGTTTTCATAAAGAAAAACAAATTGAAAAGTATTTGGAATTTATGAAAATACTTGTAAAATTCAATGAATTCAGTAAGGTTAATTTTAAGTGAGATTCGTTTCAAAGTCTATAAGAAAATCATTGAAACTTGACTAAATTAAATACATTTTTTTTTAATTCTACTGTTTCATATAAATTTAATTACTTTTTTTATAAATCACAATTTTCTTAAAGTGAAACTAATTAAAAAGTATATGGAATTAATGAAAATACTTGTAAAATCCAATAAATTTGAGAAAGTCTATAAGAAAATAATTTAAATATTTACAAAAACTTACAAAATACTTTTCCTTTCTACTGTTTCATATAACTTTAATTACTTTGTTTTAATCATAATTTTCATAAAACGAAACTAATTGAAGAGTGTTTGAGATTTTACAGTGAAAATGATTGTAAAATCTATTGAATTTCAGTAAGCTTAATTATAAGTGTGATTCGTTTCAAAGTCTATAAGAAAATCATTGAAACTTGACTAAATTCAATACATTTTTTTTTAATTCTACTGTTTCATATAAATTTAATTATTTTTTTATAAATCACAATTTACTTAAAGTGAAACTAATTGAAAAGTATTTGAAAATTTATGAAAATACTTGTAAAATCCAATAAATTTGAGAAAGTCTCTAAGAAAATAACTTCAAGTTGACTAAATTCAAAGATTTACAAAATACTTTTCGTTTCTACTTTAATTACTTTGTTTTAATCATAATTTTCATAAAACGAAACTAATTGAAGAGTGTTTGGGATTTTGCAATGAAAATAATTGCAAAATCTAATGAATTTCAGTAAGGTTAATTATAAGAGTTATTCAAAGTCTATAAGAAAATCATT